AGAAGGCATCTCCGACCCCATAAAGTATATATATTCTTTATCAGCATCAATAGACGAGTCGATCTAGCCATGTCCGTCTGTCTGTCTGTCCGTCCGTCCGTCCGTCCGTCTGTCCGTCCGTATGTATCAACGCAAGGATCTCAGAACCTATAAGAGCTAGAGACGAATTGAAATTTTAGATGTAGGTGCTCCTAGTTCCCGCGCAAATCGAGTTTATTTCCGATAATCGATAACGTACTCCGTTTCCAAGCAATCGATAAAAATCGATATCGATATCCTGTTTTTTTTTTGGAAATTTTGGTAAATAATAAGAGCTAGAGTCACCAAACTTGACATATAGCTTCTAAAATAAAATATATATATGCATTTGATGTTGAAGGAAGAGGGTTCAGGGTATCCCCTAGTCGGGAGCTCCCGACTAAAAACTCTTACTTGTTTAAAATCCAAACTAGAATTGTGTGTAGCTCTTTTGCTTGACTGTTTGCACTTGGTTACTGTTTCGTCTATCAGTTTTCACTGTGCTGTCTGTCCTTGTGCTGGCAGCATTTCGCGTTTGATAAGCGTATCGCGAGAAGGGGTTTCATCAGCTCTAAATTGGCATTCATTCACACTTGGACGCACGCTCTATAATGCGCCCCTATACGAACGGACCCCAATTCCCATTCCCAGTCCGATTCCGATACGAGAATCGAATTCAATGCGGCACTTGAGACGCTGCGAAATCGAATGCCTGGCGATAATTTGCACACGCAGCTGGCCGTAATATCCTGCATCTATTTATCTTGCTGGCCACCCCTATATATAGAGTATAAATTAAACCCTTGAGTGCGATATTGCGGCTCAAGTGCGAAACCAACGAGCCTTAAGCTTCATTTTTTTCCCCGTTTTTATTTTCGTTTATGTATTTTGTTCTCGTTTTTGCCAAAACGGAAATAAAGCATAAAAGTTACTTTTGGATGCTTAATGATAAAGTGGAACTTCAGCGTATGTGTGTGTGTGTGTGAGTGAGGCATTGTTCGGTGCCACGCCCCATGCACACAAACGCCCCGAGGGCCGCCGGTTTTTGCGTATTTTTGCACGCTCAGCGCTAAAAGAAATTCCCAAATGCCAGCGAAAGGAAAAACGCATTAATTACGCTTTTCAGCATAATAAAAAAATAGAAAAAAAAAAAAAAAACAGAACAGAACAGAACAGAACAGAACGGAACGGAACGGTTAAAAGGAATAATAGGCAGCATCGAGTGCTGGGACCCTTAACCGGATTTTCGTGAATAGGGTGGGTTTCGAGGTAGGAGGAGTAATAACCGGGTTCCATTCTATTCGAGCTGGTTTACCGGTTGATTATGCGCCAATCGGTGCGTTCTCTGGAACTAGCTCATTGATTGAAATGCAGCTGGCACGCTCCGAAATTCAATGAAATGAAAACCGGAAGCAAATAAATGAAAATCGACAGTTTCCAAATTAACCGGTGCAATGATAAAACCCAAAAACGAGGCCAATAACACAAATTGTCTTCAAAGAGAGACAGCGAGAAGAAGGAACGCAAAAAACCAAATACCACAAAAACAAAAAAAAAAACAAAAAAAAAAGGTAAAGTTATGTCCATGCTGCAACTGTCGCTAATTGCTGGGTCAGGGGTTGAGCTCGCACGGGGTTCGGTTGCCCAGGAAGTTGTTCAAAATCAAGCGAAACGAAATTACTTGGCCCTCGGCCCGTCGCTCGGCCCCCCTCTTGCCTTACAGAAATGCTGACAGTTGGCCGTAGACCACAGCCAGACCAAGTCGGCAGCCAGGGCAGGGCTGGGCGGGCGAGACGCGGGCTCATTAGCATTTTTTTGCTGGCTGTTGCTTTATGTACAAAAAAATATCCATGGAGTCCGCAGTTGCTGCTTGTTTATTTTTTCTCTTTTGTATTATTGATAAATTATGCAGTCGCACTTGCGGCCTGTAAATCGTTTGATAACACGCAACTTGGCTAACGGAAAGTGCAAAAAGTTGGCCGAAACATATACGACTATGTAAATTAAATGTCTGTTAAAAGGGTATTTATTTTTTTGGTAATAAAACATGTCTCTTTTTTTTTTGGGGCTTGGCAAATTGTCAGAGAGACTCAGCCACATGCAACTTTCTTAATGACTAGAGTTGCCAAGCATCATGCATTCATTTGGCTTAGAGTTGTACAGACTAGTTCACATACAAGTTCTGGTTCAGTTCGCAAAAGCAGTTCATCTACTGAGTTAGTTTAAAGTTCAGTGGCTTATTGTAGTCGCGGAATTTGTCAGTAAAGGTTTAGCTTTGAAAATACACTGAATGATCGTTGAACTTAAATGAACTAGTAAACCTTGAGAAACTCAGTTCGCTTGGGAAAGAATCGAAAAACTCCCAAAATCATTAACTTCTTCATGTAAGTTGCAAATTCTTGCGGCTATTCATAAAATTGTTACTAAAAAAAAAACATTTTTTTAAATATTAAATGAAATAGTGAACAACAATCTGGAATGCAGTTAATTCAGTTCAGACATTAGTTCAATTTAACTAGGTCAAAATTGTTCGGGTTAGCTCTTATATAAAATGTATTTTATTTTTAACCTGATTTATAGTTTCTCTGACTCAAAGCTTAAGTTGTTCACTTAACTTTCATTATCTGTCGGTTGGAACTGAAATGAACTAGTGAACAATAATCTGGAATGCAGTTCATTCAGTTCAGACATTCGTTCAATTGAACTAAGCACAAATGGTTCAGGTTACCTCTAATATTTATGGTTTCCAGCTCCATTATCTTTCGGCTGGAACTCAAGTGAACTAGTATACGCTAATCGGGCAGACAGTTCAATCAGTTCACATAGGCTTAAAGGGTTTAGTATTGCACTAATGGAGAGTACATTTTATTTTTACCAGCTTGATTGTTTTTCTGGCCCATTTATTTGCGACTCTTGTTTCGGTCCATGGTTATGGAATATAATTATGCATCAGGTTCAAAGCGAATGCAGCTCGCCTCAAGCAACGGAAATCTAAGAAAATTGCAAAACATGCCACAAGACAAGAACAAAGGCCGGCAAATAGATGCCAGATGGGATTGATGAGGAGGTGGCGGAAGGGGAGGGTTGCCTTTTTAGTCAGCCTTAAGATAAGTGCACACAGAATGAGATATTTTACGGAAATGATTGCAGTGACTGCGACAGTTGAAAAGATTCCACTCAAATGGCAATCCCAATCCCAATTGGAATCCCCCAATCCCAACCTCTTCCTTTTCTTCTTCTTCTGTTTCTTGAATGTGCAGGTTGCTCTCCGGCTTGGCTTTTCATTAGGGGCGCCCAGCAACGCCCTTTTGTAACTCAAGCCAGCGCCACGTGCCATAAATTTTGGCTTTAAATGGAGCATGCCCAAAGTGTAGCCTGTTAGCAGGGTGCCCGGCACCCCCCGCGCAACACCCCGGCAAACCCTGTCCTAATGTTTCATGAGCCGCGTTATCTCACAATAAATTGCTGTCTTAGTTTGCGGGCAGTTACACCCCGCCGCGGGGCGAGGCCATGAGTTTTCGTTTTACATTTTCTCGGTTTTCTCGTTTTCCTGCAACCTAGTTAAAGTTTTTCCTCTTCGCAAGTCTGTCTGAAATTAATATTAATTTGGAGTGTGTATTATTATTTAGCCTGGCAGCGCAACTTTGACGTCGCCGACATCTTATTAAATATGCGGCCAGGCCAAATCCAAAAGTTTACAGCCGGAACCAGAACCAGAACCAGAACCAACGACAGCAGCATGAAACTAGCTTCAGAGCCCAAGTTTGTTGCTTGATTGTTAAACGACTTTGTTGGGCTTCGCCTTTTCCTAATGAAACGTAATTTAAATTGTATTGCCTGAGATTCTACGACTTGGCTGCTGCATTAGCCGGCTGCATTCCTGGCCAGGTTAGCTGTCAAACTTTTTAGCTGAAATCAAGCAAGTTTTTTGTTAGATTCTTTTGGAAAAGTTTTAAGTATTCCCATTATTCGAGTATTACATAATGTAATGTGGCACATAGAAAAACATAGTATATATATAACACTTTGTCGGACCCTTGGAATTCACAACAAGTAAAATCTTTAATCAGGGAACAAGACGAAAAGTTTTAAATGTATTTCAATCCAATTACATTTAAAAGTTAACGCACTTGCATTTTCATTTGCATTTCATTTTATATAAAAATTCCACTCGTGACTTGTTCAGCATTTTTCACATCCCAAAGGCAAAATGAAATAATTTTTCCCCAAAAATAGCCACTGGAAACCCGGGCTGACCCCGCTCAGAACTGCCAAACTTCATTTAAATAAGCCACCGCCGTGAAATTTTATAAATTTTGGCAACCGGCTTCGCTTCGTTCGACATGTACGACCGAAAAGCAGCTAACAAAATTGCAGAGCCACGTAAATATTCTATAAATTTTTATGTGCAACTGTCTGACAGTCTGTGCGTCCGTCCGTCCGTCTGGCTCTGGCTATGGCTCTGGCCTAAGCCTTGATCCTGCCCCCCGCCATGTGCAATTGTCTGCCGTCTGTTCAAATGCCTGAAACGCCTCTGTATTGCGGCAGGAGCTGGCAACTGGGAGCAGGTATTACGTCTGCTTCTTGCCAATGCGATTCCCATTGCCATTGCCGTTGCCAACTTTCGTTTTGGCTCTGACGTTTCACGTAGTAATTGCCGCTCTCATGTAGTTTTCAGTTGTAGTTCATGTGCTCCTCTAGCCGCTCGCACCCTGCTCCCAACTTACACTTGGAGAAAAGACTGCGAATTTTTTTAACTACCAAAATATCTAGAAGCAAGACTTAAGTGTAGTACAAAATCGTAAAGATTTTGAAATTTTATAGAGCGCTATTTCGCTTATTTTAAGCATGAAATACACTTGGAGAAAAGACCCAGAACTTTTTAAGTACCAAAATATCGAAAAGCAAGACTTATGTGTAGTGTAAAATCTTAAAGGCTTAAACCTTAATTCGAGCACGCTTTTGCTTATTTCAAGCATAAATACATATGAAGAAAACATCCATAACTTTATTTTAACAAGCAAAATATCTAGAAGTTAGATTTAGGTGTAGTACAAAACCGTATAGCTTTAACCTTTAATCGAGTCCATTTTTGCTAACAATACGCGTACAAATTCTTTATGTTTTATCTCATTTGACAAGGGAAATTGGAGTGAAGTTTGCCAACAATTTTAGGAATAAAGGATATATGTATCTATTGAAACCCGGTGATACTAGAAGCTGATATGCTGTTTTTCTCCGAGTGTATTGTTGCCAGGACAAGGCTGTACTTGTAGCATGTGCACGAGTATGTGTGTAAACACCTTGTCTGGGCCCGCCTGTCTTGCGGCCATTTCATTTGCACAAATATTTCGCAATTTGGCTGTGGACGTTTCTGCTGCTGCTGCTGCTGCTGCTGCTGTTTCTACTGCTGGCACTGCTTGTACAGATATTTTGGTTTGGCTGTGCCACCCGTTGCCCCGCAAGGCAAGGCAATTAGCCATGGGCCTGGGCCATAACTCTCCTGGCAACAGATGAAAGGCTGCTCGCTCTCTCTGTCTGACTCAGCCTGTGCCTCTCTCTTTTTGTCGACAATCGACAATCGCTTTCAGCATAGAAGTTCGGCATAGTTAACGGGCATGATAAAAGGCTCCTGCCGGGAGAGTCGTGCTGGCTGAGATCAAAGAGGGACATCGTTTAAAATTCCATTGGAAATGTGCTTGAAAATGTGTACAAATTCTCAAGAAGCTGCAGCTGAGGCAAGCTTCCAAGGAAATGCTTTCAAAAAAAAAAAAAAACAAGAAAAACAAATAAAACACAAAAGAAATCTGAAATATGAGTTGGCAAGACGCAAAAATAAGTGAAATATTTAAAGCAAATTATTATTGTTTAATGTATTTGCACAAAATTCCCACGAGAGCAGACAGCAAGAAGTCGGCTTGAAACGACTGCACAATACTCTGTTCCCAGTGTAATCCAAGGAGGAAAAGTCCGCTTAAGCAAGAAGTCAATCGAATATAATTATCGATCAATATGGGCCAAAACGCTGAAATTATTGATAATCTGAAATAAACTACGAAAAATCCATATACGAAAGGGGTTTACCTCTTCCTTCATCCCTTTTCCACAGGCTCAGGCTGTACACGTAATTCCTGGCACGTCTCTACCCTAAATCATATACAGTATGTGAATAAATTGTTTTTACTAACGAATTTTAATTCAAGAAAATGTTTGCATAATGTTATTTAAACAATTTTTATGCCGTTAAGTTCTCGGAATCGAAATAAATTAGATATGAAAAAACTACTCATTTAATTTGAAATAAACCTTACAAATGAGTTTTTTTTCGCTAGTAAAAACACTTTATTGACATACTATACATGAATTTGGTTCTTTCCTTTGGGCTTTCTCTCATTACAAAATTTCCCTTGGCAACTGGTTTTAATAATTTGTTTAGGCAAGTCAATTAATTTTGGTTCTGGTTCAAGTGCACTTAATGTTGTGCGTGCGTGCGTGTGTGTGTGTGTGTCTGCTCGTCTGTTTCTAAGACTACCCTTCAAAGAGCCAACCCCGAACTTCTCGCACACACATACACACACGCAGACAGAATGTGCCAAGGTATCGGGCCAAAATATCAACTTCAACAGTTAACAGCAGGTGGCTGACATCAGCGCAGTAGCTGCGCAGTAGCAGCGCCGCAGCGCAGCAGCAGCAGCAGTGGCAGTGGCAGTGGCAGGGGAAAAGTTCTCGTTCGTCCAAATTGAAGTTAAAAGTTAAAAAGTTATTTTGGCCCAAAAGGCGGCCCCAACTACTACGCCTGAGTGGCTAAATTCATTTGGCAGCAAAATGCAAATTATTACAACTGACTTTTCATTTTATTTGCCATCATTTCTTTTTGGCTGCCCTTCTTCTGCTGCTTCCACTCGGTTTTCCTTTCTGTATTTTGCAACTGTCTGAAAATTATTTACTTGGCTGAAGGCAAGTCCCCCCCCCCCCTCCCCCACCCACAATTACAGAGAGTGTGGGAAATGCTGAGGGTTGCTTCCCTGCAAGTTTTTGCATAACTTTGCATGGGCATAATTTTCACCGTCTCCCGGAGCAGAGGTGGAGGAAGGGGTGCAACTTCCGTATGTATTCGCTTATGATTTGCTTTTGCTCTGATAAACATAAAGATATCAGCTTGGATTTCTGTATGAGGGAGCTGTCTCTTTATAAATTATACAGCACACACACACACTCACACAGAGCTGGCTGCCTTCGAAGGGGTTGCTCAGCTAAGGGTCGTGGCTGGGCGATAAGGCCTGCACTTTTCATACGTGTCTTGCATTTTCTCATGCCGCCCGCAATTGTCATGTAAATCAATGCAACTGGCCCCCCAGCTACAGCAACAGTACTCTCACACTTCCCATCTTCAATTTCCATAATCATTTAGAACAACAACAGGCGAAGGTTTCCCTGCCTGCATTTCGCGCTTAAACGAAACCAATTGAAGCGTAAATCTTGCACGTCTCAGGCTGCCGATAAAGAACCGAATAATGAGATCTTGACAAGGGCAAGAGAATGTATCTCAAGGAAAATGGTTTATGCATCACAAGATAAACGGCATACCGAAGATTAAGTACCCTTTGTGGAAAAGCAAATGTTTAAGGTTCCTCAGATTAAGCCTATATATTATGGGCATATGATTTGACAGATTATGGGAATCCGATTTTATATGGTTTATATATGGCAGATATGTTAGGCTAGTATGGACGCTCGTAATTGCTGAGTTAAGTTATTAAGATATTTGGAATAATAGTTAAGTTCTCCATAAACTTTTAAGTCCATTTGAATGAGAGTTCTATACAAGATCTTCATTTTCGAACGATCATTCCTATGGCTCCTTTATGTTTTGCTGATACTTTCTACCAGATTTTTAACTGATCTAGAATATATTTACTTTACACAGCGTAACAAAACAGCGTAACAAAGCAAGTGTAAAAACACGGAATGAGCGTCAGTTTTCCACTATGAAAAGTATCTAAAACATGGGTAATACATAAGGCACATCTGGTGCCCTGATTAAATAAAGTTAAGAATTTGATTTGAAATATGCAGTTAAGCAAATGCAGCTGGTTAATGGAATGGAGTAGGAAATACTTTCGTATCGATTCGTGACGCGACTTTATATTGATTTCCATTTAACATTTCCGTGTCTATAGCTTACATGGGATGCCTGACTTGGGCTGGGGTTTCAATAAAATCGCTTTAAAGTAACCTGAAACGCAGCACAATTTATTGATAACCAGTCTCGGTCTCTGTGCCAGAACAAATGCCTCTGCCCGTACCTTGCCCATGGCCAGTTTTTCCAGCTCGTAATTGATGTGCGCGATTTAAACGCAATTGATAAGCAGAGCCAGACCCAAAACCGAACCTGAGACCCGGCAATGCCCATGTTATTTGGTCGTATTTAGGCTGCCATGCCCGAGGCTCAGCGTCATGTGTCCCTATCCGTGCCAGTCCCAGTCCCAGTCCCAGTTTGTCCATTAAAAAGTCAGCAACTGTAGCTAATTAAGGCTGGCAAGACTCGAATCAAATTTTGGCGCATATCAAATTATGAGCACAGCTGGCAGCAATTGTTACTGTGACTGCTGCTGCTGCTGCTGTTGCCTTGGCAACTTGACACAAATTGATGGGCTGCCGGAGCTGGGCGCAATAACCACCAGGGATTCGACTAATTTCGCAGCGTTTTCGTTTTAATTACATAAAATCGCATAGGAATCAAAATAAATATAAATATGGGCATATTTATGGCGCCCAACTGCACCCAAGTACTCCGACAGTCAGTCGGCCACATGTGCACATATTTGCTAAGGATTCTCAGTGACAATCGCCTCGTTCGTCCGTCTGCCTGTCTGCCTGTCTGCCAGGCTGCCAGCTTGGTATCTGCCTCACATGTCAGCTCATCCCTCGCCTTGGATTTCCACTTTTTGTTTTGTTTGCCCATGCTAAGAGCTGATCCAAGCTGAGCTGAGCTGACCTGAATGCGACACTAGGGTCCACGACTCGGATTTCTCGGGCAGACTAGCGAGGAACTGAGGGATTGGCAATCTTAAGCCCTGAGACAGATGATACTATGCCTGGGTATACGATTGCAAATGGAAAGTAAGGTGACTGGCATGAAAATGTAACTACTTGATATATAAAGATTGCACGGGTCACGTACTTGCATCCAAAAATGAATATATAATAATTACATTTAAATAGTTGAATACACTCAAAGAAAATATAATGCAATTTGTACTCAAGTCAAGTAATTATGTCGGGAAATCTTTAGTAGAGAACAATATAATTTCTTATGCTCGAAATTCTAAGAAATGTTTCTATTTCTTTGAGCTTAATTTGTATTTAAACAAACATCTTTCCACGAGAACGAAATTTGTTTTCTTTCAAGAATTTGTACAAATCAGAAATTCTTCAAGATTCAAATTAAGTTTTTAATCTGAGAAATGTTGGGCATTCACAGGCTTAACTCAAGCTAGAAAGTACTTGTAAAAAGGGTTTTCTACTTAAATGAATCTTTTTTCTTCCAAAATGAAGAATGTTTTCGCGCTTAATTTAAGAAGAGTTAAGCTTGAAATGCACTGGAAATTTGAAAAGCATTTTAAGCGGACTCCTTACAAAGGTAGAGTTTTCTGCTTAGCTCTGAAGTTTTTGGATTGCCTGCCATCTAAAGCCTTCATCTTGGTGCTACCAGGTTCAAGTCCAACAACAACAACAGTCAAAAGTAAATTTGCCGCTAAGGCAGCGCTTAATGGACATTAGTTAGGCCAAAACCTGCTACTGACTGGCAGCGTGAAGGGGTACGGGACTCGGACTCGGACTCGGACTGGGACTGGGACAGGGACGGGAACGGGAAATTTAAGCACAACTTTTCTGCTGAGCTGGCAAGCGCTGGGCTGCCGGGACTGTGTGTCGGCGTGGAGTCTCGCTGGCTTTTAGCTTTTGGTGTTTTTGGTGTTGCATTTCAAGTAGAAATTTTGCAGTTTGGTAGCAATTTTGTTTAATTTCTTTCGGGCCAGCCGCACGCCTCGAACATAACGAGCGTTGTTAATTGTAACCATATACGAAATCCACAGCCAGCACCCAGTCCCAGTCCCAGTCCCTGTCTCGCCCCTGTTAAGTGGCAAGTATCGAACAGGGGTCTGGGGGGAACGGGAAGCGGCAGCGCGTTTTGTTCGAGGCTGTGGCAAATGTGTCATTAGGCATGTTTCATGACCCTTTGTCATGCACAAATAATTATAATTTAATACACTTTGCTGCAGCAGGTTGCAACGGCAGAGAGGGCGATAATGCACACAGGGAAGAGCCAGGGCAGCCCACCCTAAACGGCTGTATGGAGATTTTTCCGAAACAGATTCGACACGATTTTAATACAAGCGGCATTTTCCCTCGACATTGTCTGCGTGTCTGTGTGTGTATGCACGAGTGTGTGTGTGTGTGTGTGTGTGTGTATTTTTACGTTACTTTGTGCCACATAATTGCCGACAATTTGCTGAAGTTGCAGCACACGCCTGGCAATTACCCCAAGCGCTGGCGCAGTCGGGCACAGGATGTGTTTTAGTGCCCAATCCCAGGCAACTGGCTCTTCCCCCGTCTCAAATCTCCACACCCTAGCCACCCCCAATCCCTCACCCACATCCGCTGTCTGCCGCTACTAATTTCCAGCTGGCTGCAGAATATGAAAAGTTTGTCTTGGCTAATTTGCTTTATGGCATTTTAATTGTATTTGCCCAACTTACGACTCGAAACTGAAACTCAAACGCAAACTGGGTACTCGGAACTAAGAACTGGGAACTGGGAACTGGGAACGGCAAACTGTTGTCGTCTGCTAAAAATTTAATGAGCTTATGAATTTCAAACGAACCTTTCAATGGTGGCCAAGTGCACCTGGCCGCAACCCGAGTTCGAGTTTAGCGCATTCCCCAATTATTGATAATTTATGAAAGCAATTGAAGCTAACTCAGCATGTGTGTCTGTCCGTTCGTACGTCTATTTGCCCGTCTGTCTGAGTGCTTGTGTGTCGCACATCTAAATGAGCAGAGGAGGCCCCAATGGGTGCAAATATAATTCTTATAAATAGACAACAAAAGAGACCCTTGTCGACAGTTGGCAATCATCATCATCAACATCGTCGTCGTCGTGGTCGTCGTCGTAGCCGTCGCCGCCAGCCAACTAAATAAATAAAAACTCATGCCTAGTGCCAGTTCCCAGTTTTCCCAGTTTCAGTCCCGACAGTTCAGACGCTTCATGGATAATATGTATGTACACTCGGAAATTTCTGAGTGTAGCACTTGGTTAGAATTCCTACATTTTTGTACTTCAAATACTCAAGTGTATTTTTTCTGTCATTTCTCCTTTCCAAGACTTAAACTAGTTGGGAATTGCAAGCGTAAAGCAACGCTAAAAATAAGACGAGCAAGTTGGACTCCGATTTCTGCGCGTATTTGCAGTTACAAATTTGCTCGTACTTTAAGACGATTTACATTTGACTAAACGCTTAAATTCTGGTCTTTTTCGCTGAGTGTGTGCAGCGACAGAGTCGCCAACGACGACGTCTTTGGCTTTGGGCAGTTGCCTTCAGTTGCCGTCTCAAATATCATAAAAACAAGTCAATACAACGCGCTAATGAAACCAAACAAAAACATTAAATGTTAAAAAAAAAAAGAGAAAGAAAAAACATGAAAATAAAATACATTGCATTGTATGGAAAAGTTGTTTCACAATAAATAGACGCATAGATGGGCATGGAAACATGTTCATAAATATTTGTTGCCAGCTAAATGTTGATACAAATGGTTCGGATCGTTCGATTGATATTGATGTTGATGTTGATTTTGCGGGGCAGGGGGAGAGAACCGACAATAGAAACCCGACTTGACTTGACACGTTTCCAAAGAATATTTGTGCTGGTCGTAAAATACTCGAAATAATATGCGAGCGGTTTTGTCGTTTGAACTAGTTCCGAGAAATCAACCCACAGAACAAATTGATAACTGTGTGGCATTGAACCAATTCGAATGCAATGTACAAGTGTTTAGTTAAACAAATAAATAATTTGATTAAATATTATAATAGTTGTTGCCCAACTTTAGATAGAAATAGAGAATTAAGTAATTAACAACTTGGGAACTGAACTAGTTTCTTCTTTTGGGTTCGAAAAGTTTGAATAATATTGATTTTTGGGGCACAGGGGAGAACCGACAACAAAACCCGACTTGACTTGACACATTTCCAAAGAATATTTGTGCTGGTCGTAAAATACTCGAGAGGTTTTTCGTTTGAACTAGTTCCGAGAAATAAGCTCACGGAAGCAATTCACAATTGTTTGGCATTGAACCAATTCGAATGCAACGTACAAGTGTTTATTTAAACAGATAAACAATAAGATTAAATATTAAAATAGCTGATTGTTATTGATTTAAATTAGTTAGGCAAATGAAAAACGGGCTAGTTTATAATGCGGCTGCCAAACTATAAATAGAAATAGATAATTAAGTAATTAACTACATGAGGACTGAACTAGTTTCTTGTTTTGGGTTTAGCCCAATTCCAAGCTGGCATAATTAAACGAGTTTTTTTTTGCCTTCCAGCATAGCCTGGAGATGGGTAAGTAAGTACACACAGCCTCTGGTCCGGCTTATCATATAAAGCACCTGTTCGCTTCTCTCGCTTCCACTTACCACCTCGAAAGAAATGTTTTTTTTTTTTGTTCTTCTTCTAAAACCGAATGCATACAATAAATAGCGCACTATTAACAAGTTGCTAGTGATTTATGCCGACGCGTTTTTCTGGGCAAGATTTTATGGCACCCCAACCGTGCCGCGAGACAATGCAGCAGATAATTTTTACGAGGCCCTCTCACTGCGCCATATGTTGCCCGGTCAGGAGGACGGCTCAAAGAAAGAAAAAAAGGGAACAGAATGCTCTACCTGAGGGTCGACTGGCCCTGTCCCTGTGCCCGGGTCCGTGCTCGAGCTCTTCTGGCCCTTTTACGATCGTGTGTAATTAAAAGATTTGGTAAAAGGCGTTAGGCATGCGCTCGACAGCCTTGACAGCCGGCCGTCCCAGGGCTCATTAAAGCTGTAAAGTCAATAGGGAGAACGAGACAGTGAGAGAGTGAGAGAGAGAGAGAGAGAGACGCACCGTTTCGTATTCACAGCCTCGAAAGGATTGCCAGGCCAGGGACTCTTGTCATTGTTCGTGTGAAATTCAATTTTGATTTGTGGCAATAAAGTTTTTGGCTCGTCATGGCTATTGATTTTTAATTTCCAGCTAAAGTTTCGCCATACTCTCTGACAGTTTAGCCGGAACTTTTCTAATTGCTGGCACACCAAGTTCTGACTCCCGCCGCCCGCTTCCCGCCCCTTCATCTATTGTCCGTGTACGCTCATAATTTTGCAGCTGGGCGGAATGGCGGACTGGACTGGCTATTGAACAAAGCAATATTTGCTCAAGTAATTTTGGTCCAAAAACTTCCTCGTCCGCCGCCACGTGACCACTTCAGCTGGGCTGGGCTGCCAGGAGGCGGAGGAGGAGCACAGCTCCAAGAAGCTGAGACTGCAGTTTCTGACTTTTTTCTTTTCTTTTCGTTTATTTTTTTTTTTTGTCGCTTTTGCCAGTGATTTCCCAGCCACGTACTTCAGCACGTAGCCAACTTTAATCTCTGCTCGTTCGAGCTGTCTCTCTCTCTCTCTCTCTTCCCGCCCTCTCTTTCTACTCTTGCACCCACTAATTTCGCCTTAAAAGCAGAATTTATGTGCGCACAGCATTTTGCCCTAATACGAAATCAAATAGTATTTTTTTTGTGAGCAAAAAAAAATGTAGATTCGCGCTGCATTCTGTTTGGCTGGGCTCATCTTGATTTATGGCCAGGATGTTTGCGCCATTCGCACCGACATTGGAGACGCCATTATTTTGCGTATTTATACAAATGTTTTCAGCTTCCAAGCACACACATACACACTTACACACACCACACACACATGTGTGTGTCCCGGCTGGCTCTTATAGGCATCTATAAATCAATAAATGAAATTTACACGCATATTTTGTGTTACGTGTTGGAAAATTTATACGAACTTTGTCCAGGCAAGAGAACAATATCGGGGAGAGTTTTTCTTCTAGTGTGGGCTGCAGGCTGGGGCCGTATATATGGCGCATATTTGAATGGCTTGTGCTGGCAATGTTTGGGGCCAAGTGCCTCAAGTGATTTGCCGCAAACTTTGCGAAATATTTACACACAAAGGGCGTTGCCATGTGCTCGAACAAAGTCAGAAACTTCTATAATGCCAAGTCATCTGCCACTGCGAGCAGTTTATTGATAAGTTTTTGTTCTTACTGGGAAAGTACCACAGCAAATACCCAAATCAAATATGTACTATGTGCAGACATATTTTCAAAAAAGGGCCAGACGTATTCATATGCCCGCAGAATACCTTGAATTGCTTTTGAAACAAATAAGTTATGCACTTTTGAAAAACCCATATCAAAGTTGGGCAATTGAATTTGAGAATCGCATAGAGGACTGCTCGACTTACCACAGGAGCAGCTGCCTTCGAAGGAAATCAACGTTCGAATAGATGGGCTTCCGGTCTCGTTAATAGCTCAAGTTCTATACAAAGGGATTGCTAATATAAAAAACAAAAGATTATGAGAATTGCATAGAGGACTACCAGAGTAACCCTAGGAGCAGCTCTAATCAGAGCAGCTTTCATCATTTGACACCAAAAGAATTTTTAATTAAGGCCGTGACAACAAAGCAAAATAAAATAAAATATAAAAAACTAAACTGGAAGCTGCTGGCAGCAGTTTCTGATGTTGTTGTTGTTGTCGCTGCTGCAACATCAGCAAATGGCAATGAAACGATAACAATAAAAAAATGCAGCTATGGCCATAGAGATATGCGAGATACGCGCGAGAGATACGAGCGAGAGATATATGGGCCTGCAATGAGTACGAATATGAGTTTGAATGCGGCTCTGGATATGGGCATGGGGCACTGAGGCAGCAGGCCCAGAATGCACATAAAACTTGTCGGCATTGTAGTCGCCGTGGCAGTTGTTGTTGTTGTTGTTGTTGTTGTTGTTATTTGGTTGCTGCAGCAGAAGGAAGCAGCAGCGGCATAAACAACAATGTCATCAACATAATTGTATGTCAAGTGAGCGCAGTGAGAAAAACTGGGGAGGGGACAGTGCCATAAAAAGTAAAATGACAAGATAGAGACAGGGCGAGTAAGTGCGCGAGTGAGAGAAGGAGGAAGAGGGGGGGGGGGACCACTCGAGACCATGACGAGACAATGCAATCAAAGGAGCCACAAAAGAACGTAGGCCGAAAACGGCAGCGAGGGGCAGTCGAGCCATGAATGAATGACGAGTGCTGCATACGCAATATTAAGCCATCGGTAGGCGCATTGTCTGCCCTTGCGCAGCGGGCATATCGTTGGGTAGAGAAGTCCTCTATGCGATTCTCATAAACATTTTTCTATATAACCAATCACACCATGCCACAGAAGCGGAAGCGATATGTGGACTTTTAACTGCCGATTTATGTGTAAACAGGGCATTTACCATTCGATTTCAAAGGGATAGATATCCATCGGGTAGAAAGTTTGCAACATGCCACAGAAAAATAAATTATATGTGGACTTTTTACTGCACACTTATAGATAAATACGGTCAATATATAAAAATCATATGCTACAGCTTTGGTTAGGGTATTCACTATGCGATTTGCAGTTGTTGTCCGCACTAGCTGCCCTTTTAGGTCTCCATATGCTGGGGCATATCGGCTTATATGTTGTGCTTAGACGATGCGGGTCACAGTCGTTTTGTTGCTGACAGCAACCGCTGCTGGGGGTGCATTGCGCACGGTGGAGGGTAGGGGGCGGCTTAGAGGTGGGGCACCTACCATTCGCTTGCAGTCATCATCATCATTCGGCAACCTCATCGCTGCAGTTGGCGTCATTGGTTTGTGTGTCATTGAAATGAAACGCCGGGCGACGCCTCTTGAGCGGAATTATTATTACCACTTATGGATGTATGTTGCTGAGTGTGTCTCTCATTGTGTGTGTATGTGTGTGTAAGCCATAACCATCAGAAGCCGCAGCCACAGCCGTAACCACAGCCGGAGCCGGAGCAAAAGCCAGGCCAGCAGCCATTGCCATATCCATTGTTTTCCCACTGCGCAACTTGGTTTGGTTTTGTTTTCTTGTTTTTTTTTTTTTTTTATATATTTTTTTTTTAACTTTTTTCTTATGTTGTATGCAACTTTGTGTGTTGCCTGCACTCATTTCCACATGAATGCGCCAGCAATGACATCGGGAGGGGGTAGTGTTAGCCACAGGGCGGGCATATGACCAGGCATGGGGAGGAGGTAAGCCACACAAAATGACATAAGCCGCAAATATATTTGAGAATTGCTGGAGCCACGCAAATACTTCTGAATAAATAATTATTGGCGGGAGAAAGAGAAAGAGGAAGATTTCCTATAGCTTCACATCTGAAGAGCATCCAAGAATGTTTTACTTCTATAAAGTGTGTGTATGTGTGTATAAGAGAGAGAGAGAGAGAGAGAGAGAGAGAGAGAGAGAAAGTATCCTTACACATTTATTAGAGAGTTTTTGTATAATTTGTACTTA